GTTTTTGGGATTCCTGTCTTGGTAACCAAGGACTAGTGTAGGATAAAAACCATGATAATATATCAAACGTACCCTTGTTTGTAGGATACAACATAACAGAGGTGGCCCATGACTGTGTCCGATCATTGAAAAATTGGTTTGAGCAAAAGGGCATCAAGAATTCATTTGACACCTGGCATGGTAAGTATGTTTAAAAGTTCATATGTCAGTGACTGTCTAGTGCTCTTCAGTTTGCCTGAGCAGCACTGCAAATATGTTCATCAGCCTTTCCACTTTAAAAACTCTTTCCTGCTTTAGGTACTAAAGGAGTGGCACGTGACATGAAAAAAGTGTGCAGTGGTGCTCAACGTGATGAGGGGAAGACATGGTTCTCTGAATTATCAGATAAAGGTACAGGGAAGTGTTAGTTTTGAAATTTCAGTTTTTGTTGTTGGGTTTTTTAAATCTACATTTGGAATCTTTATCATGATGTTGTTTTAACAGCCAAAGCCACCAAAACACATTTCTACTGGGCAATGAGGAACAATGATGGGACTGATGCTGGGTTTCAGAAGTACCTACTCAACATTGTGGACCATTACCAGGTTTGTAGATGTGCTTCCTTGTAAACCAGTGTATAATATAACAAATCAATAACATATTTCGTACGACNGTAGTAGTAGTAGTAGAGATACTTAGTAGTTTGATGCCGCTGAACAGTGCCTCTCTTTGCCCAGGGGTTCTTGTATATGTACATGTAATGTGTTATTAGGAATCAATCCAACAGAATGCTGGGTGTAAATTACTACATTGATAGCATTATAGCAGGGTAGATGTTGAGGAAATTTAAATTTGGCATAAAATATTACCTTAGGGCAAGCATGACCACTGCAATAAAGATTCAAGATGTCAACACCCAGGCTATGTGTGCAGCAAAAAGCCCTTGACCTCACCACAAGCAAAAGAAGCCTACATCAAAGCTATAACAAAGACCACCATCTACAAGAACCCTTCTGATTATCTTCTGGTTAGTGGGCATGGACAAAAGCAAATGACATTTTAAACTCGACCAAGTGCACTGTGGTGCATATTGTTGTGTAGAACAAATTTATAAGACAAGGAACATGCCAATCGCATAGTGAAAAGTACATGTTGACTCTTTACT